AGCCCCCTGACTTCAAGCCCCATGACTTCAAGCCCCCTGACTTCAAGCCCCCTGACTTAAAGCCCCCTGACCCCAAGCTTCACTGGTAAAATCTTTTTTTTTTTAACCCAAGCAAATATCATCGTAAAGCTTAAAACATTTCTAAGCCTAGAAAGCACATCGTTTTCAGGCGAGAAAAAAAAGTTCCCTACTTTTGACATTTGTACCCTTTTGTTCTTACTTTTTTCTTTTTCTTTTTTTTTATGTTGTTATTGCTTTTTTTCAACACTTAGAATTTGGATTTCGACCAAATATTTGTTTCAGCATAGGCCTACGCAACTGATACCGCAGACGGAAAAAACCCCCTACAATTAAATTTCTTTTTTTTTAAAAATCAAATGCTTTGGGCACAGTACAGGGAACAGCTGACGTGTTTTTCTCGTGAGCGACAGAAGAGACACGTGCAGCCGTGAGTGAGAGGACTGGTAGACTCAATTGCTCCCTCACACTGAGCACAACAGATGACAACTGACATAGATCTATAGTAACAACACCCCCACAAAACAACAACACCCCAACAACAACAAAAAACGCCAATAACAAAAAACACCAATAACAAAAACAACAATAACAAAAAACAACACCGTGGTATTCATGATACGCACCACTTGAAAATAAATAAATAAATGAGTAAAGGAATAAATAAATGAATAAATAAATAAACAATTGAACGAAATAAAATGAATAAATAAAAAATTAAATGAAAATATAATACATAAAAGAATAAATTTATTCATTTATTCATTTATTTATTTATTTATTTATTTATTTCTTTATTTACTCGTGGAGAGAGTAAAGAAGAAATGTGGTTGGAAAGCAGATGCCTAGAGTTGACACAAAAAGAAACCTGATGAGTGATGCAGGGGAAACAACTATTTTATTCCAGTTCAACGTTCTAAATTTCATTGTTGCTACCCTTGAAAATTATGACGCATCCAAACTGGAAACCCTTTACTTTTATGGCCAAAATAGATTTGCTTCCACCTTTTATTTTTAGAACTATTCTATCTCATGTTAAGTTCTTCATTTGGGCCCAAATATATTAAATTAATTCTAAGTTTTGATTAGCATTGGGAAACGTGAAAGTAAAATCATTCTTCTAGTTTTGCAGGTCAGTTCAAATGTTTATTTGATACAACGCAAAGAAAAGACTGGACGGGTGGAATTGAAAGAAACCACTTCCTCTTGTGGTTTTTTGAAGCAAGAGAAGGCAAAGCCGAGGCTCGGCCAAATCCGAAGCGTTCCTTGAAACTGTTCTCTCACGAGAAAGCAAAACAACAAAGGTCCAGTTTGTAGATCTACTCACGACTCGATCCAGCGTGTGCATCAGAAGATGGGCGAACGTGTGTTTGCTGCCGAATGCATTCAGAAGAGAAGAGTTAGGAAGGTAAAAGTGAAGTTGACCCTGACGACGACGTTTGTCACTTGTGTTGTTGATAAATTACGCCTACGGCATCATCGTCGTAATCAGTCATGATTATTTTTTGGGTAACATTTTTAGTAAAATGCTGAGAGAAAAGAGCATGTCAAAGAGCTCCGACTCAGAGCAGGTTGAGACGAAATGAGAGGCGAACCATGATCTACTGATAAAACAAAACATACCGACTATTAAATCAGTAGGCTGTTGAATATATGATATCCACCAGTCACCAGTTCTCTGTGCTAGAGGCTAGGCCTAGTCGATCTACTATAGCCTATTGAGGTCTAACCAGCCAATAAGCTCTGAAAGTGGCTATTCTCACCCGCCCGGAAGTTCTCGCAAGATCTACTCCTCCCCTCTTCTCTCTCTCTCTGTCTCTTTCTGAATACTATCGGTGTGGACGATCAAATTGACCAAAACAAAGTTTAAAAAATGTTAAAACACAAAAGTAAATTAATTTGGTTGTCTACAAAGATGCTACGGCTATCTAACTTTTCGAATCGAGCCCAACTACGCAGGTCGCCATTTTGTTTTGTTCTCTCTCTTTCGAGTCTCACTTCTCTCTCCACTGCCCACAGACAAAATTGTACGCTTTTAGTAGGCT